TAATTTTTAAATAAAAATTACCTAAGAAATATAGTTGTAAATATTGTTGGATATGAGCGAAAAATAAAACACATCGAAACTTTATAAAAATATTCATAACAAAATATGAAACATAATTAATTTGATAAAATAATTTGAATAAAAAACACATTATAAATTGCACATCTCATTATTAATATAAAAGAATGTTATATATATATATATATATATATATATATATATATATATATATATATATATATATATATGTGTGTGTGTGTGTGTGTGTGTGTGTGTGTGTGTGTGTGTGTGTGTGTGTGTGTGTGTGTGTGTGTGTGTGTGTGTGTGTGTGTGTGTTAAATATTTAAAAAGCTATCACGTGACTGTGTTAAGTCAAATATTTAAAAAGCTATAACATGACTGTGTTGAAGTCATAGGGGAAGGAGTCAAAATAACTGGTGTGTGTGTTAAATATTTAAAAAGCTATAACGTGACTGTGTTGAAGTCAAATATTTAAAAAGCTATAACGTGACTGTGTTGAAGTCATAGGCGAAGGAGTTAAAAAAAAAAAAAAACTGTAAAAAAAGAGTAAGTACCCAAAATGGTCCCTCGACTATAGCTAAATTCATAAATTGGTCTTCGGCTTTCAATTTTAACCAATTAAGTCCTTAACTTTGCAATTTTAACACGATTTGGTCCTCCATCTATTTGACCGTTTGTTGACCGTGATCTCTGAGGATACATATGTAATTTCATCGCCGCCCGCCCTCATCTGCTGCCGTGACACAGTCTATCGCCCAGCCACAAGCCACTGCCCAGCCGCTCTCATCTACTACCATGACACACTCCACCGCTTAGCCTTCACCTATTGCCACGACACAATCCACCGCCCAAACACTTTCGCATAATTCATCATTGCCGACGTTACAACCCAGTTTGCAATCTTCATCAGGTCCAACGCCACAAACAGCCGTGTCCGAGTCTACTAGGCGGCGCCGCGATTCTCATGTCAAACAAGAAGCGCGATTCGGGTCGGGCCAAGTACCGGCTCATGCACGTGGTCCGCACGCACAAGGGCGCCGACGATAAAGCCTACCGCTCGTTTACGAGCAAGAAGATCCGCAAGGAAAGTCGGAATCAACCTCTCAAAAAACCTAATGGTGATCGCCTGCGAAGCCCTCAAATCCAACATAACCACAATCAGCCCACTCGTTCTCCCGCCGTCAGAGCAGCTCCTAAATGGAAACCCTACATTGAATCCAAAGGGAGGATGAAGAAAGGCGATAGGATTTGGCAGATTGCTTTCGGCGGTGGATTCAAATGTAACAGTGCGGTCTGAAAATGCAACCGGAACCTTAAAAAACTGACAATGGACCATGAAATTACATACATATCCTCAAAAATCACAGTCAACAAATGGTCAAATAGACGGAGGACCAAATCATGTTAAAATTGCAAAGTTAAGGGCTTAATTGGTTAAAATTGAAAGTCGAGGACCAATTTGTGAATTTAACTATAGTCGATGGACCATTTTGGGTATTTACTCGTAAAAAAATGTTGATACCAAGAATTCAAACCTCTGACCTTTACTATTACCAAACATGTACTTTACCGACCAATTTAACTCATTTCTTGTTAACATTTAATAGTTTTTTTATATTAATACTAAAACATGTACTATATATACATATATACATACAAAATTATATATGGGGTGGGGGTGGGGTGAGGGGGGCAGCTGCCCCCTGCCCCTCCCCCCCCCCCCCCCTTTGGCTCCGTCTCTGATCATAGACCATAGTCCACCTAGCATTATGAATCCTAAATTGAAATGATGAGATACAAACTTTCATAACACAAAACACAAAAAATCACAACACAAGATACATAACATTATGGACCATGGATTAAAACGATGAGATACAAAATTTCATAACACAAAACACAAAAAATCATATAACAAGACGCATACACATGTTATATATTTACCTATTTTTCAAATCTGATTTATGTACATAATATGTGTTCATAAACACATAATTTCAAAATAGAAAACACGAAAATTCATAACATAATGTTAGTCCTATTATATTTGTAATGTTATATTGTAACATTATTTAGTTGTAGTTGATTGAGTCCTTAACTACATAACATGTATCTATTGTTGACAGTTTTGAGTTATACAGAAAACACACATTCATCTGGTATCAGTTAAGCCTCAGGTGATCCCTTTCTCTCTCCACTCCCAAAATGTCGACTAATTCCAGCGAGCGCACAGTGACTACTGCCACCGTGCAACCGTCGACCACCCCGACTTCCTTGACCACCGCCCACCACCTTGTCTCCCTAAAGCTTACCACCAAGAATTACCTATTCTGGCGAACCCAATTGATCTCGTTCCTCCGAGGGCAAGGACTGCTAGGCTACGCTACTGGTGATACCCCCTGTCCGCCAGCACTTCTCTCGACACCGGCCACCAGCGACGCCGCCTCCGGTGGTACGACGGCGACGACGACCCCCAACCCCGCCTACGGCCATTGGATCCAGCAGGATCAATCCATCCTGTCTCTTTTGATCTCGTCATTGTCGGACGAAGTCATGTACCTGGTAGTCGGACGGGAGACCTCACGGGCGGTGTGGACGTCGGTGACATCGGCGCTTGGCTCGTCGACGAGGGCGAGGTGCTTGAATCTCCTGGCTCAATTCCAATCGCTGCGACAAGGAGACAGTTTGCCCGGTGAGTACCTCGGCAGGGCGCAGCTGCTCATCGAGGATTTGGCACTCGCCGGCCAGCCGATTTCATTAGACGAACAGAACCTTTACGTGTTCCGCGGCCTCCGACCAAAATTCCATTCTATGGCGTCCTCCTTGGCGGCTTCAGGTACTCCGGTCACCATTCCTCAACTTTCTGATTTCTTACAAGCTCAAGAATTCATCTGGGCGGATGAGTTCTTACCGGTCGGAAGCTCTCCGGCGGGTCCCATGCTGCGATGGTTACCGGACGAGGGCAGCGCCACCCTGGTTCTGGAGGAGGATCGTGGCAGTCTGGGTCTGGAGGTGGACATGGGTGTGGCCGGAACAGATGTGGTCGTGGATGGAATGGCCGAGGGCGCGGTGGAGTTCCCCGGTACCAGATTTGTCGGTCTCAAGGTCACACAGCCGTTCACTGCTTCCGGCGCTACGATCAACCACCGCCGCAGGCGCACATGGCGGTTCCAGGCGATGATGGCGCGGTGGTTTCGGACGGTTGGTTCCCGGATACCGGAGCCACCTCACATGCGACACCCGACCCTTCGATGATGGTGCACTCCGAGTCGTACAGATGCGCTACGCATGGGAAACGATACAGGTTTGGGTATTTCCAGTGTAGGACATGCATCGTTAAATTTCGTGTCTATGTCGTTATTTTTAAATAACATTCTGCATGTGCCAAATTTATCTGTATTGCTTTTATCAGTTAATCGCTTCACATCTGACAATAACGTCTTTTTTGAGTTTCACCGTGATTATTTTGTTTTGAAGGATTGCCGAACCAAAACGGCGCTACTTAAGGGTCCTAGCACGGTTGGTTTGTACAAGCTGTCTCTGTCTCGGTCACAGGTTGCATATATTAGTGCTCGTGCGTCGTCGAAAGTTTGGCACCGTCAGTTAGGCCACCCACATGGCCGTGCGTTACAACGTGCCTTACAAAACTGTCCGGTTAACCAAAATAAGTCAAGTTCGTCGCAGCTATGTTCCGCGTGTCAGCTTGGGAAATCATCCCATTGCCCATTAGATAGGTTATTTATGCATGTAATAATGTATTAGACTTAATATACACGGACATTTGGGGTCTCGCGCCCGTTGTTTCCGCAGGTGGTTTTCATTATTTTGTATTATTCGTGGATGACCACTCCCGTTTTTACTGGTTTTACCCCTTACGGTTAAAATCAGATATATATAAAGTGTTTGAGTCATTTCGCGTGATAATAGAGCGCCAATTCGCGCGTTCTATCAAGTCTCTTCAGTCAGACTTAGGCGGCGAATATCGTCGCTTACATACACGGTTTCTTTCCCTTGGTATTGTGCATAGGCAATCCTGTGCCTATACACATGAACAAAACGGACGAGTTGAACGCCGTAACCGGCATGTTGTCGAAACCGGACTAGCCCTACTGGCTGACAATTCGGTCCCACAAAATCACTGGGATTCAGCATTTGAAACTGCAACCTATCTAATTAATTGTCTCCCCTCATCCGTATTAAAATTTACTAGTCCATATGAGTTACTATTCAAAAAGCCCCCACCATACACATTTTTTCGTGTCTTTGGGTGTAGGTGTTATCCCTTTCTTCGGCCTTATAATCGGCACAAGATGGAATATCGCTTTGCACCATATGTCTTCTTAGGGTATCCTACGTCCTATAGAGGGTATCGATGCATGGACCTAAATACTGGAAAAACCTTTATATGTCACCATGTGCGATTTGACGAGTCTTGTTTTCCCTTTGCCACAGGATCACAAGATCGTAACACTCATGAAGTGGTGCATCCCAGTCCACCATGGGCCTCTAGCCCGATTGTGCCGTATCACCCTCCTGATCCGCCAGTAGATGCAGTGCCCTTGGCGGTACAGGAACAGTCGTTAGCAATTCGAGATCAACCTACTATAATGACTGTCTCGAGGCGTGGTCCCCGTGCTCAGCCTCTAGAGCGGGGCCATGTAATGCGCCTTCGTCACATGACTAGGGGGACAGATGAGCAGTTTCATGCCCTGACAGTCTCCGTGGACACCACTTGCTACACTCAGGCTGTCGGGCAGCCCGAGCGGCGGGATGCCATGGACAAGGAATTCAACACCCTTCTACACAATAACACCTGGTCTCTCACTCCACCTAAACCCGGCATGAATGTGATCGGCTGCAAATGGGTTTACTGTACCAAACGGAAAGCTGATGGGTCGATAGAGCGATATAAAGCCCGTTTGGTTGCTAAGGGGTTCAATCAAGTCGCCAGTGAAGACTTTTTTGAAACTTTTAGCCCTATGGTCAAACCGACTACAGTTCGCATGTTGCTCTCCCTGGCAGTTTCACAGGGGTGGACTCTTCGTCAGTTGGATGTCCACGATGCCTTCCTAAACGGGCACTTAGCTAAAACGGTCTATATGCGACAACCCCCTGGTTACAAGGATCCAACACACCCTGATTATGTGTGCCATCTACAGCGGTCTTTATATGGTCTTAAATAGGAGCCACGGGCCTGGTTTAAGCGGTTGCATGACTTCTTACTTACTACAGGGTTCTTAGCTTCCAAGACTGATGTCTCACTCTTTTATTATACAGCTAATGCCTCACGTGTTTTCTTCCTTGTTTATGTCGATGATATTATCATGATGGGCAACGATGCCGCCTTGCTTTCCTCTCTGCTGGATCGTCTCTCTACAGCCTTCAAAATTCGGGACTTGGGCACACCAAGTTTTTTTCTGGGCATCGAGACTCTTCCAGTGGATGGTGGTTTGGTTCTTTCACAGCGGCGTTACATGGTTGACATCTTAAACCGAGCTGGTATGTCCGATTGCAAGCCTCTATCGACGCCAGCATCCCTGACTCAGTCTGCGTCTCCGTCTTCTGAACTCTACGAGAATCTTACTCAGTATCGTCGTCTCGCCGGGGCTCTACAGTACTTGACGATTACCCGCCCGGACCTTTCTTATGCGGTCAATCGGTTATGCCAGTTTATGCATGCCCCCACGGTTGCTCACTGGGGCCTCCTGAAGCGGGTTCTCCGGTATGTTAAGGGGACTCTGCGTTATGGTTTACAGTTAACTACATCAAGGTGTACAGATATACACGCCTACTCTGACTCCGACTGGGCTGGGTGTCCCGTCGACAGGAAGTCCACGAGTGGGTATGCAGTCTTTCTTAGCTCGAATCTTATTTCGTGGGTCTCTCGCAAGCAGCGAACGGTAGAGCGCTCCCCCACGAAGGCCGAATACAAGGGTCTTGCGGATGTTGCAGCATAGGTGACTTGGGTCGTGTCTCTACTTCGAGAACTTGGTCTACACTCCAGCTCTCCAGCTACTCTATGGTCTGATAATCTCGGGGCCACCTACTTATGTGCAAATCCGATTTTTCATGCCAGGACCAAACATGTAGAGATCGATTACCACTTTGTTCGTGATAAGGTAGCGTCAGGGGACTTCTTGGTCAATTTTATTTCTACAAAGGATCAGCTAGCAGAAATCTTCACAAAGCCACTGGCAACAGCACGGTTCGGTACATTACGAAGCAAGCTCAATGTCATGTCTCACCCATCTTGTGCTTGAGGGGGAGTGTTAGTCCTATTATATTTGTAATGTTATATTGTTACATTATTTAGTTGTAGTTGATTGAGTCGTTAACTACTTATCTGATGTATAAGACTAGTTGGTTAGGCTTAGACTCTTAGAACTTTTGTATCTCTATTGTTGACAGTTTTGAGTTATACAAAAAACACACGTTCATTCATAAGACACAATTACTAATTTGTTCCAAATACAGAATTCATACTGTTAATGTACAAAATTTCATAACAAACGACACAAAATATCGCAACACAAAACAATACACATGAACCAAGGTCCACCGTGCACTGCGATCCTGCACGTTGCCTACACGTCAGAATTTCTCAACATAATATTCATTTAATTATCTAACATACATTAGACATAAAGGCATTGCATTGGAGCTGGTAAGTGTCTTACTAAATTTTACAGGAAACTTGAGTTCAAATTACAAAATACTGAAGGAGCCATTGGGAATTGCAGCAGGCTCAGACTTCTTTGTTAGCAGAAGACCTATAAACCCTACTTATATAGCAACAAGATTGATTGTTTCTTTGAGATGGTAATTGGAGGCCATGATTTCCAAACCAAGAAATACTTACAAGCCTCCATCCAAATTTCTTCCTAAAAAAAGTCAAGTCTGATAGAAAAGGGAGTGTCTCATACATTACTACCACGATCCCGACTGAAAACCGGCTTTGATAGCTGCGACCCTAAAGTTGGCGAAGCTGGACTGGAATGCTGAGGAGGAGGTGTTTGGGCATGCTTTTGTTGTCGGGTTCGTTCTAACGAGGGTGCCCTTGCTGGAACGTCCTCGCCTGACCCAAACTCGGTTGCTCCCTCGGGGTGAGACACTAGATCGGTCTTGTTAGGATGGTGCTTAGGATGCCCCCTGCCGGAGGGGGAAGATGACTGGTTCACAATACTTTGATCACCAGCAGATTGGGATTCTGGTGGCTCGTGGCAGCTTTTCTCGACTGTGTTTGTCTCTGTAAATGATGATGCATTCCGTCCATTTGTTCGAGGAGACCTCGATGGAGCTTGACTCCTTCCCTTCCAAGCTGATGACCTATAACCTTTCGGCGGTTGATTCTGCAAAAATTAATGCAGAAAGCTAATATCAAACAACCGCCTGGCAGGCTGGCACAAGAAAAGAGTAACAGTTTTATTATACAATTTTCGCGTGGCCACTTCGTCGAACTGTATATACCATGTTTGGAAGGTAGGTTCCAGTTCCCCGTGGTTTGGGAATATCTTCTAAGCCGAAAGCCATACTGGGTATCGACAGAGGGTTTATTGCATAGAATGCTTGACTTGGAATGATACCGTTAGCATTCCCATGGAGAAAACCATTCCTTTTAACCTGTAATGGCTGCTGAACCGCATCCCATGAATACGTTAAATAAACCGAAGCGGGGGATGCAGGTATAGGGAAAGTGAGCATGTGTGAGGCATATTCATGGCACCATCGGCCATATTGCAGACAGCTGAAGTGATAGTTGAAGTCACCGCTAAGATCCAACAAAGAAATCAAAGGCTGCATACTTCTACCGCCAGTAGCGAAAGGCCAGTCCTGTTTTGCGTGATGTGAGCCATTAGAGGAAGCGGGCGTTTTCGGGGCCAAAGGGATTGGAACCTGATGTTTATCGATCGAAAGATTCTTCTCCGGGCCCTTTCTTTCGTTAGCTCTTTGTTTTAACCCAGAAAAATGTTTCCTGTTGCAGCTGGTTTGATCTGAGTTTCCCATTTTCGTCTCCCCGTTGCATGTGGGGCTAGTGAAGTGGTTGTGAGGCGGCATATCGACTACATAGGCGGGGCCCCTATCGGTACCCAAATGGGCGAAGCTGTGGAGATGACTAGGGAACTTAAGGTCTTGATTTATTGAACTAGCGAGCTCCATTGCATCTCCAAGAAGACGATAGTCCAATGCATTCCCCGCTCCATGCCAACCGGTCTCCAATGGCAGCTTGGATCGATATGTATCCATGGTGCTTTCTTGATCCCTATCTCCAAAGTTGCATGATCCATTCGGGAAAACCTTGCAATCCCCACTCGTGCTCGTGAGATCACACGATTTAAGCCTAGAATTGAGCTTCTCAATTTGAGACGAATTGATCTCTGAAACAGCATATGCAGAGCAGAAAGTATTGTAGCCAGTTAGTGGGTTAAAATCTCGAACATCAGGCCTCTGCCCACTCCCATGCCGAACCAAAGTGTTTGAAAAAAATTTACGAAGTTCATCAACAGCATTTTTATCCTCCGACTGCAGAAGTATTCTCCCAAGCTTCCTAGCACCATATGCAAAAGCACTCCGTATTCGATAGAAATTTCCTGTAAAAAAAAAAAACACATAAAAATTCACAAACACTTGCAATATTCGCGTGAAACACTTTTGACCTTTAACAACTATGATAAGATAGTTTGCAAAATAACTTGTTTTAGTATAGGAGTATGGGTTCTCTAGTCACACTGGATGTTCAGTCTATATATATATATATATATATATATATATATATATATATATATATATATATTGAGAGAGAGATGCATTCAAATGAGAACCATGTCTCAGGTGAGAACGTGAGAATTGCATGAGTGCACACAATCTACTACACGAATGCACCGCAACTACTCTAGGATCTCCACCGTCATCCAGGCATGCCTGGGAGTAGTTGCGGTGCATTCATATAGTAGATTGTGTGCACTCATGTAGTAGTTCGCACGTTCTCACCTAAGGGTGGTTCTCATGGGAGCACAAGCCTATATATATATATATATATATATATATATATATATATATATATATATATATATATATATATATATATATATATATATATATATATATAATCTTCTTGCACAAACAAAAACAGAAAACAAGAGAAATGAATTTGCTCACACCTCTGCTGACACTGCGTCCTAGATTATTATTTTCTTTGAGAGGATCAACTATGTTAAGATGCTTTGATGAAAATGTTCGAGAATTCAAGTCGATCCCTCTTGACGGAACAGAAAACATAACAGCACAATATCTGAGGAAATCATTGCTGAGCAGTAAACCACCACCACCGCTTTCGGGTGCTTCAGCTGCAAAACGTACAAGAAAATCATCTCGATGAACTAAAAAGATGCATAAATGAACCACTGCAGTGCTCGTAGAAGTTGCTTACCAACAATATTGGGTAAAGATGATACGCGAACTGGACCACTTAAACTAATACAATACTTTTCCCAATCAAACTTGCTAAAGTACTCCAGAAATCTGTATAGAACCTTAAAATTACAGTATCCTCAGTCATTAGGGGCATTGAATGTGAAAACTGTTGAAAACTAAATAGTTAGGTTTATCTATAGGGTTGTGTCTGTTTATGAATAGGTGTTAGTTTATGGGTAGTTACTTACAGTTATGTATTTGAATATATATATATATATATATATATATATATATATATATATATATACTATGTTTCTTTGTTAGAAACACAGATAATGATATACACAAAGACATAACTGTAAATACTTATCCATAAACTAACACCTATTCATAAACAGACACAACCCTATAGATAAACCTAACTATTTAGTTTTCAACAAAAACAACATTGGATCTGAAAGTCCAAGGAAACTTACTGCTAAAGGGCCATCTAATGAGGAGTGAAACAGATGAAAGATGTAAAGAACCAAAGTCTCCAAAGCATAAGTCGATATCAAACCATGAAAAGCGCCAAGTATACGGCTTTCATAATAACACCAGGCCTTGATCAATATAATGCTACGCTTAAACAGATGATCTTTGCAAATGAGACGATCAACCTGTACCAACATGAAGTGTGTGCATGAAATGCAATTCTAATTTCTAAGCGTTACATGCATAAAGGAAATTCAATCACTTGTTGTTAGTAGTTTCCATAATAATAAATTTCAATTTCAAAAAATCGATTTACCTGTTCGAGAAAGCACAGGGTACAAAGACCACCAATTTGATTGAAGGAAATGTCAACAATAATATTTTGTACAATACATTTCACAAGCTTAACCTTCCATGACAAAGCAAAGCACCAGTTAGCATTATCAGAATTTGAATATTTAAAGTAAAAAGGCTACTCTAGTAGCTAAATATTTTTCATCAATAAATGATTTCTTTCCATTAAACTAACTAGCAAACTTTAATTACAACACTTATTTTGCATTAGTTGTAATTATATCAGGAAGTATTTAGTATACAAAAAATAACATCAAACATAAATGACAATAAAAAATGTTTAATCAAAGAATCAACTTTTATCGCAAATATTTAGAGAAAGAGCAATACCTCAGCACGAATGAGTTGGACATCTGTTACTATGAACTCTGCGCACTTATTTTGTTCTTCTTCTTCAAGAAGAGATACCAAATCATTAGCCAAGGCATCCTCCATCATTGGACCACCAAAGATAGTCAAGTCAATGTCACCATCCGGAAGATAGGTCTTTAGAGGTACAGATCCATACGGGAATACCTGATATTGATTCAAAAGTGCATTCATAATGAATGATAATTTCAGCTTTCAACACTGTATATAATTTTTTTTTAAAATAGGTAAGGTAGTATTTTAGTTTTTTTCAATTTTCCAATGGGAATGGTGTGTGCAAGATCTGAGCAGATGTGGTGCATGCCACTTGCCTAAAACAAAATTATTGATCATCTTTTTGAAAACTATA